TGAACCTAATGAACAATTGAAAAATTAGGTTCATAATCTTCATCAAAACAATGTGTGAACCTAATGAACAATTGAAACATGTGTGTGAACCAAATGGACATATTGTGTGAACCAATTTATATGTGCACGAGTGAACACATATGTCGACGTTTGAGTGAACATGTGCGTGAACGGTTTGATCATTTTCTTCACTTTCGGAATTCAAATTCCGAATGTATTCGTAGACGCTTTTAGCTTTTTCATTCTCATTGTCGTCGATCTGTTTTACTCTATGATTATCCATATTACTCGGATTATAACGAAATCTTTACAAAATGGACTTTTTTGAAATTTACAATATCAAAACCATTGTAGGAAGAATGAAATGTAAAAATCAGTAAAATGAACAAATATGATACTTCATGTCATTATTACATGAAGATCAATTAGTGATATTTTAAGATTTGTAACTCCCAATTAAAATATTGGAGAGTTACATAAAAATAACAAATTACCCAAATACCCTTACACTTAATATGTGAGTTACATTTGAACCTAACTAAAAGATGGAACATGATTGGTTGATGTTGGTTAGCATAGTTAACACAAAAAAATGAGTTAGTATTTGAACCAACCTCTATATATATATATATATATATATATATATATATATAACTCATTTCTCTCTCTTTTCTTTGGATTTTTAGAGAATTCTCTATATTTAGAGTTTTTTTTTCTTCATGATTCTCTATTTTAGATAATAAGATAGGGAAGGTTTTGAAGCATTATAGAGAATAAAAAGTTGATTTTCTATTTTATAGAGAAGCTCTTGGAGATGCTTCAAATATAGTGGATTCTCTAAAACTTGATGTTGAGAGAGAGAGAAATTATTATTTTATTCAATGACACCAATGATATAGAGTTATAATTTTTTTATAAAATGTTTTAAAAAAAAAAATTGTATTGGTGTGATAAATTAGAAAATATTATAATAAAATAATTTATCTTAGAACCTCTAAAATAAAGAATCTATTGGAGATGAATGCAATTTTTTTAAAATAATTTTATGTTTTGGTTCTCTATTTCAAAAAATTTATAAAAAAGCTGTTGGAGATGCTCTTAACTATTTTATATGACTCTATTTGAAAATTTGTATTATAAACATAAGTGTCCTATAAAAAGATGAATTTTTAAAACATTTCTCTAAAATGTCCTATAAAATTGTTAATACGACTTCTTATGTTAAAAAGATCTTAAAAACTTGTTAGATGTCGAAAAGTGTTTTATACACTCATTATAACACTTTTATATTAGACACTTGATTTTTTTTGTCATATAAGTTAAGGTGCTATAAGTAAAACACTCTACTAAGATACTTAAATATTACAGTCGCCTGTCTTATAAACACGAATTTGTTATAGTATTTGTTCACTATCACATAAAAACATACCAATATTTTATTCAATATAAATTTTTTTACTTCATCTTTTAATTTTCTTTACTTAATAAATTATCAAAGTGGTTTCATGTGATTGGTGGATATGGAAGGGCTTATGAATTTAAGACATCTTTTATCTTTATTAAACACCGTTTTGCCACTTGATGGATATCGAAAGTAATACATGAAATAACATCGTTTTAATGGTTTTTGTAAAGGTCGATGCAAGACTTCTGTGATGTTGGTTATGCCCAATATAGCATAACCAATGATAAATTTTCCAACAAAAAAAATGACATATACCCTTTAAAGCATTCCAGGTGGGTGATATCTGCAATCAAACAATAGATCTCCGTTTCATGTTGCAACGGTATCCATCTTCTTACGTGTTAAGTTAAAAAGGTGGGGACCAATTAGATGATAAAACGTTATTGAGGAAGATCAAAGGGTTGTTGACCCAATGGTATTAGGATTAACTAAAGAGCCTACAATCATTCAAATCTCATATAGATGAGAAGTATATGTGAGTATTTGACATATACAAAAGTATATACTTCAAACGAAAAAAGTTAATATAAATATTTGCATTAACAAATAAAGTGTTAACTATGAGTATATGAACTAAGGGGCCGTTTGCCAAACACTTATCAAGTAAGCGCTTACCAGTAAAGTTTAACACTATTAATTACCTAGCGGTTAAGATTTTAGTCCACCAAAACGATATCGTATGCAACAATTTACCCAATAACTGCTTACCGTGGTAAGAGTCGTCGCCATCACTTACCTAGTAAGACTCTTGGTCCTTGTCTCACTCTTACCGGGTAAATTTTTGGTCCTTATTA